GCCACCTGTTACATGATCTTCAGTTAACATAAATTACAAATAAATAATAAATACATTAAATAATAATATAATAAAAATAAATGAAATTAATATTCTACAACATTTCTTCCTTAGTATTGAGCTTCTGCGAAATGTTCCATATTTTGAGAAAGTTATTCTCTATATTTTCGAATAAAATAATCAAAGTCTACACTAGTTAAATGATATAACCAATTAGAGGTAATATATCTAAATTGAGGGATTGGAAATTCTCCAAGTACAGACAATAATCTCTGCACTCTATTTATAACAGTTAAGAATCGAGCACCATTTTGACCAGTTATTTGTTGAACTTCTTGTCTCAGTTGTTTCATAGTTAATTGCCACTCAACAAGATCTTTTGATAATAAAGACCAGGATTTCAAGTATGCAAGAAGTCGTTGTCCATTTGTTTTTGCAGTATCAATGACAACACTTACAAGAGATAAGATATCTTCTTTATCATATAATTCAAGGTCAAGGTCAACTTCAGCATTACATGCATCTTCAATATATCTGTTAAAGTTTTGAGGTCGTGTTCGTCGGTAGTGAGTAAGAATTGTTAAAGAAGTTTGTTGAAAGCTACTTTGTACAATAATTCGTGTAGAGGTCATTTGTATATTAACGAAAGTGTAGTCTAATTGTAAACTTTGATAAAGTTCTAATAATCTAACACGTTGAGTTTCTGAAAGTTGAAGTTTCATGATTTGTAAAAATTTTCAGAACTTGAGAAAAATAAGGTCTTTTATATAATAAAATTCGTGTTCAAGTGTTTAATTAAACTTTGACTAATTTGGGGTGATTATCACACAAGGTTCTATAAGATACCTTTGTTTATAATATTTTAATCTCTCTGCATAAATAGGATTAGATAATGTATTACTAATTTTATACCTTATCAAGTAAACCTTATTACCTAATCTCTTTTCTATCCAATACGGTCTTGTCTATTTAGGATTAAACTTTTGTCCATGCACTTGTCTTTTAGCAGAATTATATAATAATACAATATCATTTTCGTGATACTCACAAACTTTAGTCAAATGTTTTTGTCTTTCCTTTTGTAACTCTTGTGCACTTGTTATATTTCTTGAGGAGATTATGAGTGCGTCAATAAAGGTTCCTATTAAAGAACTGATCCTTCATTCTAAAGCCTCTTCATAAGTTAAAACAGAATGATTTTCCTTATCATTAAACTCGACATCAATAGGAAGTTGTGCTTCTCTTTCATGTACCAAATAAAAGGGGTATACTTTGTTGATTTATACTTTAAGGTATGGTAAGCAAAAAGTACTGAAGGTATCAATTGATCCCAATTAGACTAACTGGTTTGTAAACATTTTGTAATAGATCTACATAAGGTTCCATTAAATCTTTCTGTTAATCCATTCGTTTGAGGATGGTAAGACAATGTCAATTTGTGTTGAAATCCTATTTCCTCCTTTAAAAGTTTAATTGTATTATTTACAAAATGAGCACCTCTATCAGATAAGATTATAAATGGGATTCCATGTTGGCAAATGATTTCCTCATAAAGAAATTGAGCAGCTTCTTTAGCTGTTGCTATTTTTATGACACATGCTTCAGGCCAAATGGTGAAATAATCTGTTGCCACTATGATATATCTGTTTCCATTTTCAGTTGTTTCTAAAGGTCCAACATAGTCAATTTCTATTTAAAAGAAAGGTCGAATAACTGTTATAAATTCAGTCAATTGTATCTTTCAGGGATTACCAAATTTCTAACAACTATCACAAGATTCGATATATACTTTAATATCTTTTTCCATTGTAGACCAGTAATATCTTTCCAGAGCTTTCTCAATTGTTTTCTTGAATCCAAAATGTCCTCCTAAGGGGGATGAATGTAGATCATATAAAATTTGTTCTCTGTCCTGCAGAGTTATTACTCGTAACAGTTTATTAAAATTGTTTTTGTTTTTCTTTAATAATTACCCTTGTTCTATCAAATATTGTGTACTTGCCTTGCTAATCTGTTTGTTACTTGTTATAAAACTTTCTGGATATTTATGAAATAATAAATAATTAATGAGGTTATTATACACTTCCAAGTTCATTTTAAGTAAATTATTTTGTGTTTATTTATAAGATTAAGTTAATATAAGAAATTCAGGAGACTATGCACTAGAGTGGTTTCTAGTCTTAAAAGTACGTCGGCATTGGTATAGTCACTACCTTTCCTCTTTAAAATAGTATATGGTTCATATTCTGATAAATAATTATCCAGCAGGCTAACCTTTCTTTGGGTTGTTTATGTTTTTTGAACCAGGGTATTGCTTCATGATCAGTGACAATACAAAATTGAGATCCTTGTAAAAAGTGATGAAAATATTTGGTTGCCCAAATTACAGCAAGATATTCCTTTTTGGTCACGGTATAATTTTGTTCAGCATTATTTAAGATTCGGCTAGTATAGGCAATCACATGTTCCTTTCCTTGATTATTGTTCTGGGTGAGTATTGCTCTTACAGCATAATTAGAAGTATCGGTGTGAAGAATAAAGAGATCAGTAATACTAGGGTGTTTAATAATTGGCGGGCTTATAAGGCATTCTTTTAACGTTTCAAATGATCATTGAGTTTCTTCTGTCCAGCAGAAGTCTTTATCTAACTTGGTTAAGTCATACAATCGTTTTGCAATTTTTGAAAAATTGCAGATAAAGTGTCAGTAATAAGATGCGAGACCTAAAAATAACCTAACTTGTCATCTCGTTTTTGGCACTGAACAATTTTTAATTTTATCAACAAGAGTGGAATTGGATTTAATGCCATTTCGAGAGATCAAATGTCCTAGAAATAATATCTGTTTCTTGAAAAAGTCACACTTATCAGAGTTCAATTTTAATTCAGCTTCTATACGTGTTGCCCAAATCCCAAATCATTTGAAATTTGGAATGCTGTTACAGAATGAAAATATAATAATAAAATAATATTAGAAACACCTGCAATAATTTATAATAATCCTCAAGATAATATTTAGAATTTAATATTAGTTCATGTAACAAATAGTAATAATTTAATAATTACTTTTAACAAATA